GTGTGCACGGTGTGTTATAATGGAATAGCCTTACTAAGGGGTGCACTTGGAGGGCTTCTCAAGTTAGGGACAGGCATTATTTCTTCCTTAAATGTTCTGAAGAACTCCCCAGAACTGTCTGATCCTGTAATTTTCATAATTGCAAGGTTTTTAGCTTTGAAATTCAATTTCTTAAGTAGGTATAGGACTGTTGGGGGCATATATTTCTTTGTGAATTCCAGTTACTTGTGTCTTTTAAGGAATCAGTTTCATGAAAGTTGTCAAATTGTCCTTTTAATTTATGTTCCATCCTTCATTTCTGATATTGACAATGTTTTCCTCTCTTTTTCTTAGTCTGATTAGAAGTTTATTAATATTGAACTTTTCAAGGAACTAACTTTAGCTTTTATTCTTCTGCAGCTTTTGTGTTTCTGCTTCATTGATTTCTGCTCGTACTACCTCAGTGGTGTTTATGTTTTTCCAGCTCCAGGTGGAAGCTTAGATGATTTTGTGTCCTAATATAAAGCACTTTAATGTGTAACTTTCTTCTCTGCTGCTTTGCCTGCATCCCAGGACCTCTGACTTATTTTTATTCAGTTCAGAATAATTTCTAGCTCACCTGGAGACCTCCTTTTTGTCCAAGGGGTTATTTAAAGGTATGCTTTCCTGCTATTAATCGATACAGTAATTTAGCATTTTGTATGACTTAAATTTTATTGTCAAAAATTTTAGATTTTTGCTTAAGTGTGTTTTATGGCCCAGACTATGGTCTGTGTTGGGAAATGGTCCACGTGCATTTGATTTAGAACATAGATGAAAAAACCCTTAACAAGATACTATCAAAAAGCAAAAAGAACGCAGCAATATGTAAAAAGAGTATAAGTGGGTAATCCATCACGGTAAGTGGGATTTATCGGGGTGTGGAAGGCTGGCTTGCCACCTGAAAATCGGTGCCATTCGCCATATTCACACACGAATGAAAAATACGCAGAGAGCAAGAGACAAATCCACATCCATTCATGAGGAGAAACTCCGCGAAACTAGAAATACAGAGATTTCCGGGGCTGCGGGGAGCCGGGGGAGCCCG